ATCTGCTGGTCTTGATTCACTGGTGAGGGGTGCTCAGTGCCCATGTTAAGTGTCCAGATCAGAAACATGGTAGTCTGGATCCCAGAAAGTTTGGGTTGGCAGGTCCTTTTCTTTATGGCCTTTAGGGAGTTGGTATCTGCTATGACATACTGTAAATCTCTCTCCTTCTAGGGCTACTACAAAATTCCAGGAAAGGGAAAGCTTCCAAAGCAGCCCATCATCCTGAGGCCAAATTCTTCAGCAGAAGAGCTAAGGAAAAGATTAAGGGTGTTTGTGGGGGGGGGGACCTGTGTCCTGGCGGCTTGAAGTCATGAAGGGAAGTTCATTAAATGCTAACAAATTCTTTAAAAAAAAAAAAAAAAAAAAAGTAAGTTTAATCACTATAAAAAGAAAAGAGAGTATTTTATCATGTAAGCCAATACCCAAGTGGTTCAGTGACTAAGATTTACCTCAAACTAGTCACTGACCTTAACCTCTGAAAAAAAATTTTCAGAATTTTAGTTCTTTTATCCATAAATATACCAATCTACCTCAAAAAGTCACTGAAATAACAAACAAAAATAGATACCAAGTTCGATATTAATAAAGTTTTACAGGAAAGCTTATGACAATGTTCAATGATACTTTAGAGAATACCATTCCAGAAGCATCCTTGACAAATGCAGATTAATACTAACTACACAGTTTTGATCAAAAGCCACTATCTTTTAAAGAGAAAACAAGTCAAAATGAGCACTTATGTATGATGCTTACATCCAGTGGGTATAAAGCCACGAGTATCAATTAAAATCTGTAACTGCTATGCCAAGGATAAAAATTATATACCTAGCAGAAGGTAAAGTCCCACTTAAATGACTGGGGCAAAGTGTCATACAAAACCAGCAACAATGCTAGAACAATGCAAAAAGACTTCACTGCAGTCAACTATTAGGCTTATAAAATATAACATCTTTCTTCATAAAATACAAGTAGATATGCTTTTCTTTTCAGTATTCATATTGTATACCATTAGTATTATTTTAAATACAGCAACTTATCAAGTAAAAACCATTTAACAGTTTTACAAGACACAAAAACAGTGGCAGCCAGTGGCTCATACCTATAATCCTGGCTACTCAAGAGGCAGAGATCAGTAGGCTCTCAGTTTGAGGCCAGCTCAGGCAAATAGTTCTTGAGACCCTATCTCAAAAAAAAAACATCAAAAAAAGGGCTGGTAGAGTGGCTCAAGGTTTAGGCCCTGAGTTCAAACCCCAGTGCCACAGAAAATAAAAAAGAGGAAAAGTGCCTGCTTTGCAAGCATGAAGCCCTGACTTCAAACCCCAGTCAGAACAGTGGCAAACAATTTCCACTTCAAACTTAATTCTCTTACCAAAGTACATAAAAACAGGTAACCTGTCATTATTAAATATTTTCACAACAGAGACTTAGAGGCAAGTAAAAAATATCTGTGTGTGGGGGTGGGGGTAGCTTAGTGGGACAGTACATTCAGGTGGCAAGCCCTGGGTTCTATCTCCAGCGCTGCAAAAAAAAAAAAAAAAGAAAGAAAAAAAAAGAAAAACCTAAAGGGACCACTGCAGACATGGCCAGTTCAGTTTAAAACCAAATGAGCCTCAAGTCCCTCTGGCAAAAATGTGCGTGACTCACTGTTTCAGAACTCAATGGGAAGAACTGGAAAATTCACTTTGCCTAACGTTTTGCTTTGGGCTTGTTTTTTAACACAACTGTCTTAATACTGACAAAAATTACAATTTCTATAGCTTATTTATTAAGATGATAAATTGTGAGTAATATGAACCACATGTAAACAAAAAAGGTCTTATTCTTCTCCTGGATACTTAAAATATAAGCCATAAAGTCAAGTCATTTACATATACATAAAACCTAATATATAACCAAAAGGGAAACATTTACATTCCTTTTAAAAAATATAATACAGACAATACAACATGGATGTTCTAAAGTAGAAAAACAAATATTATGAGATACTGACTTTTCCTTCCCAGGAAAAAATCCAAATCTCTTTATATTAGAGATATTATCTGGAAAATATTTAAATCCTATATAATAGGATTTAAAAAGATACCACTATTACTAAAAAATGAAATTCATCCTACTCTCATTAGAAGTTTTATACATACAGGACTGTGAAGAATTTAAAAACTAGATCTCCAAATTAAGCAAAAGATCCTGCCACATGTACCAGAAATGTGCACACACATACATTCCTTTTGTACTCAAGTCAAATTATCTTAAGCTCCTGATTGCTGAAAAATCACCACTCAGTGTACTTTTATAACTACAAACAGTAGGAATGGAAATATGTCAGACATACAATATAGGGAATTAACATTCTCAACCTATTCATTCCTCACCATATTAACCCTTCCACTTTCTAATCACATTAAGAACAAAACAATAAAAATATAACATAAATTGACAAACACTTGTAAGACTTGTCAAAATCTCATTACCACATGAACTCGAAATTCTTTAAAAAAAAAAAATGCCTACTACCCATATTAATTAAAGTTGACCTACCCCTATGTAAGATAGTATCTCACAAAAAGGTCCCTTTTAAGGAACAACACAAGAGAAAAGGTCTGTATAAGAAGCTTTTAACAGAAATTATCTCATTTTTCATCTTCAACGTTCACTACTTAAAAATCAAAAATAGTCAATGTTTTAGTTCAAACTGAAGTAAAAGAAAACATTTGCAGTACTTACTAGATTTTTTTTGTGGCATACCTACTATTTCTTGCTAAATATTTCTAGCATTTATTTACATTTGATTAGAATAATTAAAAACATTAACAAGAGTATTTAGTTTGTACTTGTATTTTACATATTTACCTATTCACACAAATATATAGACAATAAGTGTCTGCTTTGGGAGGGACACTGCTTTTATCCCAATTATTCAGTCCCCATCTTGCAAAAAAAAAAAAAGTGGAAAATGTGAACTATTAAGATTTACTACAGAGAAATGCCTTTGTTTAGCTATAATTAGTATCAAATAACCTTACAAAGCATAAGGAAGAAAATATGCTTTCAAAGGGCAATCTAGCATTTCACAGCTTCTGCTCCCTTACTCCACCCAGTCTTCTCGGCTCAATGGCTGTTCACAGCATCCACAAATATTAGCCCATTTTTTAAAAAGGAGGTGGGAGTACCAAAATAGGGCTGGCTCCATTGAAGTCAACATATGCAGAAATATTTATGTGAAAAACTGGGTTCCTTTCTCTGAATATATTATATATATATAAAATATATATATTAAACATATATATGTGTATATATATGTGTATATATATATATATCTCGCTGGTACATGGAGGGAGTTTTAGGAAATCCTCTCTGAACAATCCAATGATTTAAAATAGAAGGTGAAGGAATAAATCACCCTAAATACAGATTACTCTTCTGTTTTAATAAGAACTGGAATTTACAACTGCCAATTATTTGGTAAAAGTATCCTGAAAGACATTCATTGGAGATTAAAGGCTAGCTCATGCCTTAAAACCAAACCATAATTTTTAAAGTAAAAGATTTATATATATTCAACATTATATTGCTACTGGCATATTCGAAGTAGGAAATATTCCTGATTAAGGGATTGAACCGTGCAGCAATTACGCTCTGCAGACGGGTAAAATTTAAGGAAACACTGTGGCAAAAGGGGAGGGAAGACAACGTTGCTGGTATGAAAGGCCCAAGGGTCTCCTCCGCCCTAGCCTCAAAAAGAAATTCACAAAACAACCCACCCCCAACAAAAATAGAATTACCAAAAATGGCCAGTTTTGTTAAACCTTTAAAATGTTACTAATCTCAAGGATTGTGTACTTAAAGGGGAGGCGAAATAACAGTGATATCTTTATTTTATTCCGTTGCCTCTTAAGGAAAGGGGGTGGGGGGACCTTGGCATGACATCGCCCATTGAGAAGATACCACAAATCTGTTCCTTCTCTTCAAAAGCACAATTTCTTAACCGAAGGCCTGATATGAATTACACTCATCTCCGAAGAAAAATTTTCTATCCTCATCCCAAGGAGTTTCTTGCTAAGTCACTGAAGAAAGGCAGAATAATAAATAAAGCCAGAGACCTTGCTCTCTCCTATCTCAGATACCGAAAACCACCTCCTCTTCGCTGTGATGTTTCGAGGGCGACAGTCACAATCTGCCCACCATCTCAAAGGCATTTTCTCACCTGCGAGGCTAGACAAGATAAATGGGCAGGGGCACTGCGTTTCCTAAAGGAGTGGGGAGACGAGGTTACATGAAGGGGGAAGCCTCGATGCTCAGTGTTAGCAACGTCAAAAGGCAACTCCCGTCGGAGGAGACGAAGGCAGAAAGAAAAACCCTGCTCGATTCGGTGGGTGGCTGCTGAAGATCGCTCAGGGGGTCCGGCCGCTCATCATTACAGGGTGCCGCACTGGGAGGCCGGGGAGGCAGTGGGCCATTCTCCCCAGGTCAACCCCATCCTAAGGACAGGGCGGGACGGAGCGCCTGGAAGGCTTTGGGGGTGCCTGAGCCGGGTCCTAGAGCCCACAGAGGCGGAGGGGTGGAGACTGCGGTGCTCGCCTTCACCGCCGGGGAGAGGAGGGCCGAGCCCTTTCCCCAAGATCAGAGAGTGACCTGCTCCCCACGCCCTTCCCACCCAAGAATACTTTTCTTGCTAAGTCACGACGGGAGGAGGGCGATCCCCAGTCGGGGAGTGCCGCGGATGGAGCGGCGGCGGCGGCCCCCGGCACCCCGGAGCCCAGCCGGAGGACGCGAGCGAGGGCAGCGCCCTCACCGGCCAGGCCCCCCTCCTCCGTGCCACTCACTCAACGGCCGTCGCGGCCGCCATTTTGAGAGCGAGGAGAGAAGAAGAAGGAGGAGGCGGCGGCAGGGGGAGGGGAGAATGGGAGGGAGGGGAACGGCGCAGCCACATCCTCAGGCCGCCGGGCCCGGCCCGCGGCCGCCCGAGCGCGGTGGAGGAAACAAGAGGGAAAGGCACGGACCTCGCCGCCTTACCGGAGCGCTGCACCGCCGCCTCCGCAGGGTCTCTTCCGTCCTTCACTCCCATCCACCGGCGGGGGAGGGGGGAGGGAGAGGGAAGGGAAGAAGGAGGGAGGGAGGGAAGGAGGGAGGGGGAGGATGGCGCGCTGGGCCCGGTCCCGGGGAGGGGGAGGGGAGGGAAGCGGGCGGGCTCCTCAGCCGTTCCGGGGCTCGAGCCCAAGCCCGGCGCTCGCGGTTTCTCTCCCTCGCGCCCGAGCGCTCCCCTCCTGCTCTTTCTCGCTCCCTAGAGCCTGGGGCGCTGCTCGTTCGCTCGCTCACTCGCTATCTCGGCCGCCGGACTCCGCCGCCGCCCGGCCGCTCCAGCTCCGTCTGTCACAGGAGCTGCCCCAACGCCCTGACGTCACCGCGCCGCCGCCGCCGCCGCCCCAGACCCGCCAGGAAGAGGGAGGGGAGCGGAGGAGGGGCTGCTGCGCATGCGCCGAGCTGGGCCGGGCCCGGAGCCGCACTGCCTTCCGCCTAGCGGGCTGGCGGCTGCGGTTGTGCGGTTTGGTGGTACCGAGGGGCCCGCGGGCGAGTTTGCGCACGCGGTGCCGCTTTTGACACTGCTCATGCCGCTGTCACCTTGAAAAGAGCCTCTTTTTTTCCCCTAGGCCCTGGTCTGACTTGTAGCGCCTCGTGGAGTCTGGCTCTCCTTACCTCAACGCCCTGCCTCAGTCCTCTTACTACGCTGTCCCCGCCGGACATCAGGGACCCGGTGGCACGGCGTATCTCCGGCCCTGATGGGCTCCAGAGTAACAGGAGCCCGGGTCAGGCTGTCGTCCCTCCTGCCTGGGGTTTAGGGATTATCCCCCCCCCCCATAAAAGGAAAGGAGTAGGTTGGTTGACTTGGAAGGAAGAAATGTTGAGGTTAAAAGGCTGATGGAATGCCTTAATTGTCTTCCTTTGTATTATAGATTTTTAATTGGAACGATTCTCTTTCAGATGTGATTCAGCTATTCTTTTCCTTAGTCACACAAGCATACGTCGGAGACTCCCAGAAAGACCTGGAACTTGATTTCTACAAGGGTGTGTGTGTGTGTGTGTGTGTGTGTGTGTGTGTGTGTGTGTGTGTGTGTGTGTGTGTGTGTGTGTGTCGGGGTGTGTGTGTGTTAAATTATGGGTTGAAATATTGATGACCAAGAAGTCTAGAGGATTTCCACACAGAGACACTTGATTTTTAAAAAGGCAAAGTTTGGGGCTCTGAATAATTCAATGTAGGCTAGTCTTTTAATAAGAGGTATTGACAGATTATTTTATCATTAATTTGTATTGTCCAAGGATAATTCCTGAAACATAGGCTCGGGCTTATGTTTGCCGATTTTACTACCCTTTGTACACCGCGCTTGGGAAACCCAGAGTTAACGTCTCTGATATGAATCCTGGCGTGGCCACTTGCCAGAACTGTGACCTTGAGTAAATTACTGTACTTCTCTTTGGCCTCAGTTTCTGTATAAAATAGACCGAATAGCCTCATTTTGTGGATGAAATGATAGCCAGGCATTATGGCACATAGCCCCTGCTATCTGGGCTCAGGAAGTAGAATCAGGAGTCCTAGTCCGGGGCAAGATTCATTTTCCATAATATTAATAATAATAACAATAATAATAACTAACTTGTAAGCATTCTCTGAGTGCTAGACAGAAGATACCGCATGTGTAATGTACCTAACCTTAGTGAGGACTTGTAGGTAACTCACAACCCATTACTGCTGCCTGGTCCCAAAATGAGTTTCCTTTTATCAAGAAAGATGGTCTCTCGAAGTGTTCAAAAGGAACATGAGCCAATAGTCTGCAGCGATTGGGGCTTTATCTTCACGAGACAGAGAACTAAATCAAGTGTTCTTTGGAAGCTCTTGCCCAGGTTTTACAGTCTAGGATTCTCTAGTCAGAAATAAGGACAAGAGGAAGCACAGAGGTTTGGTCTGTGCTATTACTTACAACCAATAAGTGTCAATAAACATGCAGGAAATTAGAACATCTCTTGTTCTAAGAATCCACCACCTTTCATTTTTACCTTTTAAAATATTTAGTAATGCCTGATATACTGCTTAATATTTAATCAGCTGAGTAAATCACTTTTTTAATGAATGCTCCAAAAGTCAACAAAACTGGAAAGAAATCAGAAGCACATTGTTAAATTGATAAATGCCAGTTTAACACAAATAGGTAACCCCTAACTTCTGTAAATCTTGAGCTCACGTGCTTATGTATTTTAGAAAAATTTTAAATCTGTATGATTTAATTGTGTACTAAATTGAGATCAGATTTTATTCCTATAGTAATTCTCCAAAAGAATAAATTCCCTTTAGAGAGCTGGGCGCCTATGGCTCATGCCTATAATCCTAGCTAATTGGGAGGCTGAGATTTTTGAGCATGTAGGTTTAAGACCAGCCAGGGCAAGTAGTTCAGGTACCTCGTCTCCAAACTAACCAGAACAAAATGAACTAGCGGTGTGGCTCAAGCAATAGAATGCCTGCTTTGCAAGCATGAAGCCGCTAAATTCAAACCAGCCCTACCAAAAAAAAAAAAAAAAGTCCCTTTGGGGAAGATATAAGAACTTTCCCCATGAATATGATTTTCTGAACAGAAAAGTGTTATGGTTCTGTGTACCTTTTCTGTTATTGTTGCACTACTTATCTAATCCATGTTAATAAATCTTGTCTACTGAAAATGGAAAATTAGGACAACTATGCTATCAATCACAAATTAATAAGGACTCATATAGAACCTACTATATCCATCAGGAAACATTAATAATGGATATTTTAGAATGATGTTTCTTGAAAAGAAAGGAAATAACATCCGTTTTCCTTAGAACAATTTTAACAATCTCCCCATTCATTTGAATTGCAAATCTTTATTTTCCAGTAGCCATTTTCAAACTGGAAACATTTGTTTAAATGCTGCAGAAAAACTTGTGTTACTTTAAACATTTCTGCAAATAAGCTGAAAGAAAAGCACTCACAAAAATACTGCTATGGGGAGAGAACAATGTCTTCCAAAGTATCTCCAGAGCAAAAAATCTGTTATATAATGAGTACAATTGTAAAAACATTATTTTTGATAATTCAACTGTCCTTGTAGTTTATAGGCAAATATTACATTGTTGTGCATCGCAAATTTGATTAGCAAAAGTAATCAGCAAATGGTGAGAAGGAAGCTTTTGCCCATACAAGTTATATAATCAAAGTCCCACTTAAAAGATAGCTATGACCCAACTGCAAGGAACTCACCAGAGGAGATTTTAGCTAAAAATTTGTGTTCCTGCCTTTCTACAAAACATGGATATCGTCAACGAGGGCAGATCCAACTAGACCAGTCATTCTCATCTCAGCATCAGACATCTTCATGTGTCATGAAAGATTGGGAGGCCATCGGTAACAAAATTAAAAGGCTATTAACAGTGTGAAATTCTCCAGCCTGGACACAAAGAAGTATCAAAGGCAGCACATATAACCTAAAACCATATATATATATATATGTTAATATAATAGAAACATAACATAAAGGATGTCACCACATAGACTAGGCAAAAATAAAACAAACTTTTTCCCTTTCTGCCTGTTTTTGTGTGTGTAGTAGAGGTAAAGCAGTCTCTAGTGGAGAACAATTACAGAAGTGTTTATGAAGGAGATTATTTAAACAGATTTTTTTTTTAAAGCCTAGGACTGGAAATGTAGTTTGGTGCTGATCCTCTTGCCTAGCATGCATGAGGCCCTGGATTCAATCCCGATGATGCCGAAAAATAAATAATATTAAATGGCTAGAATTTTCACTCCTTCATTCAACGAATATTTGAGTGCCTTGTACATGCCAGCCCT